CAGATCTCCCTGGAGGTTGGATGCATGAAGCTGCTTCAAAGTCTTCACTTCCGCCTCTGCCCATTCTTGGTTCCCTCCCCTTTCCTCCCTCCAATGCTAACCCAAGTGCACTCCCTAACAAACCTGCTACACACCAATCTTCCCCTCAGTGTTGGGCTCCAGGGAATCCAACCTGCCACGTGCCAATCTATTGCTACAACGATGCAGGCAACAGGGAGGAGCTCCCAGATGCAGCTTCACTTGGCTGGAACCGGCCACATCAGCCACACTCTCAGCAGCGGGCATTCTCCTGGGTCCCTTGAGCTCTCTGTGCGGGAGCCCGTAAGCCCCAGTCACTGGGCTGCCAGAGGGGACTCAGGGGAATCTTCCCTTCCTTCACGGTACGGGAAGAGTTGTCCTTGATGTTGAAATCCAACGTCCATTCTCTAGGCTCAATCCATGCACTCCCTTGAGCTGGGCAGTGGCTAGAGAAAGCACGCAAATCAGGTTCTGAAGTGAGGGTAGTTGGCACCTGTTGTTTGGGGATGTCAGTTAACACTAGGTAGAAAGAGTCCCGCGTTAGCACCTGGTTACAGACCAAAGCCACCCCACGGGATGGGGAGGCTCTCACTAAGCCCCACTCTGCCAGTTACGGTCACCCAGGCTCCAAGGCAGTGTTGCCTGGGGCCCAGGGCCATTATTTTTAGTGACAGAGCAGCTTTGGCCTTTTTCTCTCCAAGGTGGGGCTGGCATGTCCTTCCTATTGGCCGTTCCTCCCACATGGGTGTTATTTTACCGAGGTCACACCCATCAGCCTGGCAGCCAGGACAGTCCAGGCCAGGCTTCTCTGGGCCCTGGCAATGGACACAGCCTCGAGACGTTTCTGCTTGTTCACTCTCTCCACCCTCCCGCCCACCACCACCAAACTGTTGCCACACCTACTGTTTAGATGACATGACTTTGCTCTCATATTTCATATTTTTAAAATATGGTTTTATATATTTACCAATTTAAAAAGTTTCGAGATAAAAGGGTGGAGGGGCCAGGGGTCCTAGCAGTTAAGATGGTGGTTAACATACCCATGTCCATACCAGAGTAGCTGGGTTCAAATCCTGTCTCCAGCTCCTGATTCCAGCTTCCTGCCAGTGTAGATCCTGGGAAGCAGTCGATGATGGCTTAAGTACCTGGGTGCTTGCCTCCCCTATTGGAGACCTGCACTGAGCTCCCAGTGCCCAGCTTTGACCTTACCCAGTCCCAGCAATTGGAGGCAATTGCAGGAACCAGTGGATGCAACACAAGTTCTCTGTCTGCCCACCCCCATTGTCTGAGTGTGTGTGTGTGTGTGTGTGTGTGTGTCTGCATGGGTGTGTCTCAGATTAATTAATTAAAATTTAGAGAATATAAAGGATCATGGCCACATTAAAGGATGCTTATTGCATTCAAAATCCTTAAAAAGTGAGTGCGCACCTTGATCATCTGGGGAACGCAGCGTGTGCTCAGCTGAGCTCTGTGCCTGGAGGGAAGGCAGCCATAGCGCTCTCTTCCACCAATCTGGTGTCTTGCCATTTCCTCTTGAGACAGCACAGCAGGGTGGCCATGGACCAGTGACTCCCCCACTATCAGCTGAATGACAGAGCGATCAACACCCAAGACTTCCATGGGCAAAATGTCTTCCTCTGACCCGGCAATGGAAGAAGCAAGTCTGTAAGTCACTGGGAACCCAGTTGTGAAGAATGGAGATGCCCTGGTGCTGTTAGACCGGATCCTTCCTAATCAGTAAGTACTCAGACATTCAATAGAACAAAAAAGTTTGACCCTTTCCTCAATTAATAAAGAAAAGAACAAAACCCACCCAACTCTTTTCCAAAGAGGACAAGTTCTGGATTTGTGGAGCCAAAAGCCACCATGTTTCAGAGGAGATGTGGCACATGTCTGTAATATGTCAGCTCTGCAGGCAGGCACGGGGCATGGTTCTCTGGGCCTGGAGTCCAGTGACAGGGAGTGGGAGAGATTTGGTAGTCACAGAAGGGGTGGTTTGTTGGGATGAAGTAACACGCAAGTGTGAGGCAGGGCTGACTCAGGGAATGCTCGCTCAGTAGCGGGGCAGCTCCGGCCTCTGCCAGGTTTTCCGCCTCCCATTCTCTGTGCCCCCACCTCCAGAGTTCAGTCAGATGAGTGTCACGTGGGATTACGCATGTATAGGAGAGGAAGCAGCGCACTTGCGCAGGCCTGAGAGTGCCTCCTTGAGTTCTGAACCCATGGGGCCTCTCGGTCTCAGCCCATCCAGGTGACCACGTATTGAATGTTGTAAAGTCCTAGTGACACACACTACCTTTCCAGGGTCTCTTCTGTTAAATCCTGTTAACCCTTCTGTTAAATCCCACCTGTTCCAACCATGGGGTCTGATACTCTTGCTGGACTACTGAGGCCCACCTTCCATCTGCCTCCCAGATGTCTGAGGTCTACCAAGTTTGTAAGTTATTTAACTTCCTGTCTCTATCCCAACTCCCTAAGGGGTATCCCATTAAAAAAACCAAAACACAAAAACAGAGGAAGCTCAAGGCCCTGTCTTGCCCCTGGGGTCCCAGCCTTCCTTCCCAAGTAATCCAGCTCTAGCTGGGAGACAGGTGAGAGATCCAAGAGGAAGAGAGATGGCCAGTTTGTTTCTCTTTAAAGCAGCCTGGGAACTTTGATTATCTGTGCCCACTGCTGCCCTCTGTGGCCAAAAATACATGAATGTCTCCAGAGAGTCCCTTCTAAATCTGGAACCCAGCTCCCCCACTCCCATGCCCAGCCCCCCTGAGCCCTTTCAAAGCTCTTCTCCTGGAGTTCTCCATGGGCCCTAAACATTAAAATAGGAGACTCCCTAGCCAGTGGCTGTGTCTGGCTTATACGGCAACTCCTTCCCGCAAAGGCTGTTGGCTGAATCCCAGAAGAAATCTTAAGAGGTTGTGGGGCAGCCCAGCTCTCCTCTAAGCAAGACTGGGCCCAGTCCCTCTGGGAATTGTACACAGCTTTTGGTGAATCTCTCAGACACTGCCAAAACCCTGGACTCTTCAAACTTATTCACTGGAATTCCCACAAAATCTGCCCATTGTTGATGATAGTGGGAGGACCTTTCACTCACAGGGCAAAATCCCAATTAGGAAGACAGACAGAAAGGCCACGGGGAAGGAGTTGACTGAGTATGGCTGACATGCCCGAGTGACCCTTCACCTCCCCTCTTTCTTGTTTTTCCTACGTCTAAAAACCTAATCTTGTGACCTCATCCCTGCTGACACGCTGTCCACCGTCACAGGTGTGGCTCGCGGACTGCCGCGTCTCTGGACTTCAGGAAGCTCCAACATCCCTGCCCCTCCACCCCCAGTCCCAAGTGAGGAAAGTAAGCTGAAGTTAAGGTGTGACCATGTCTACCAATGAGGATTCCTCATGGAGATAAAATCAATGTGGCCGCTAGGGCTGGTGGGCTCCAGTCACCAGGTAGGAACTCACCCTGGTCCTGAAACCCCCTCCCACTCAGCCCGAAGAAACGGCACTCCTTCCCTGCCCCCCTGCCCCCCAAGAGAAGACGACTTGGAAATGTCTGATTTCCAAGTCTGGATGCAGTAGTGCTCAGCGACTCTAAACCACGGGAAATCATCGGGTTTCCACGCCTTCGGACGGCTCTTCCGAAGTATTCTCGCTCCTCTTCCTTGCGCACGAGGAGGAAAATGACGGGTATGCCTGTCACAGCGCCGAAACAGACCCTCCCCCTGCCCATCGCTTTATGCAGATTATTCCGACACCAAACGTGGCGAGAGGCTCAAGCCAGGTCCTACACGATGATCTCGGGTCCCAGGGCGGAACCAGCCCTTTTAAAACTCATAACCACAAAGCCCATGGGCCCTTCCCCGGTATGCGGAAACTAGGGGCTTCCCGTGCCCCTTCCCGAGGGGCCGGTGCCGAATTGCGTAACGCAGGTGCAGAGCTGGAGAGCTGCTCAGCGCGGGGCAGAGGCGCGCACCCCAGATGCGCACCTGGGCCCGGCGCAGGGCGCAGGCTACTTGTGAAGCGCGCTGGGCAGTCCCGAGCTCCAACCACATGCAGGAGTCCTGGGAGCGCCCGGCTCTCAACACCTGTAGCCTCTGCGCTCCTAAGACTGCAATGGAACCCCAGAGACACGGGGGCCAAGCCCGAAATCGAGCGACTGGAGGACACGCAGCCAAATCTGTCCCCAAGACCACACTGGGCAGCCTGGCTGACTTCTCCAACGCTGACCTCTCCAGGATCCGCGCGTTGGTTCGGGGGTACAGAGAGCGGGAGGCGGCAGGCCCCACGGCTCCAGGGCCCTCCACCGCCCAGCGCCATAATCACACAGCCCGGTGCAACCCTGCAAAGTACTCAGGTGTTGGCCGAGGGGAGGGACGAGTAGGCGCACCCTGAGCCCAATTTCACGGCACAGTCATCGTTCGCCAGGCAGGACGCGGCCGCCAGGGTCCTCGGAATGACTGCCCCAGGCTGCGGGGACGGGGATGCGGGAGCGCAGCAGAGGGCAGGGGTTGTGCAAGGCCCGGCGGGCGCGGGACACTCTGCACTCGCGGTCCTGCCCTACACCCAAGGGCACGGCGGGGTCGGAAGGGCCTCGACGCGGTGGCGCACTCCCGCTCTCCCCCGCGCTCCCGAGGGCCGGATCCGGGCTGCCGTTTAGCTCCGCACAAGTTGTGCCTCCCTGGCGGCGGGGGTCCCATCCCACATCGACCTCCCCTCAGCCTCGATCTCAAAAACAACTCCCAGGTCTGCGGAGAGAGGAGGCGGGGCGGGCGAGGGCAGGGGGCGGGCCGGGGTCAGGGCAGAGGCGGCGGCCGCGCCTCCCCATTGGCCGGGGCGCAGTGGGCTGCCCGGCGCGCGGCGCGCAGCGCGGCGGGGCGCGGGCGGGCCGGGCGGGGGCGGGGCCTGCCGGCGCGCGCCCGCCCCCGCCCCCGCGCCCGCGCCCCTCGCACCGCCCCCGTGCTGGCAGCCCGCTGGAGTTTTAAAGTGGGCCGGCAGCTGCTGGAACCGCACTTCGGGGAGCGGCCAGCTGCACAGCCTCGGCGCTCGCCGCGCTCCGCCCCAACTCTCCTGAGGCGGCCGTACAATCCTCGGCAGTGTCCTGAGACTGTATGGTCATCTCAGCGGCCGCGCCAGCCCGGCCCGGACTCCTGCCAACGCCAGTCGCTTGGGCAACTTCTTTTAGGAAAACCCAGAAAAGCGACTCCTGCTCTAGGGAAGAGGGAACCTGGGATCCCTTCTCGCGGCTGACAACCTCTTCCCACCCCTTTCCCGACCCCGCCTCCGCGTGCAGGTTCCTCCCCGTCACCTCTCTCCACCCCTTGGCCCCGCACCTATCTGGCCGCCCGCAAGTTTCCACCTGACTGCGCGCGGCGCTCGGCACCTGCAACCACTTAGGATCTTTCACTGTGTCCCGGGCCCCAGGAAGCCCACGAGGACCAGCGCGAAGGCAGCGGCTGCATCCTTCTCTGGCCGGAGAACTCAGGCGCTCGGCGTCTGCGGCGGCCGTGGCGACAATGACAGCTGACAAGGAGAAGAAAAGGTAAGCTGGCGTCAGCGCCAGGGGAGAGCTGGCCTGAAGCCGTGGCCGGACCGCGCGAGCGCTTGGCAGAGGAGTGCGGAAGATCGGCGTGGCTGGTCTTAAGAGCAGGTGTGCCGAGTAGGGACGTGGAGCTGTGCTTGCGCAGCGGAGGGTTCTGTGGCCCCACGGAGACGCGGGGCCGCTAGTGCTAGGAGGCCGAGAGCGACGGCCGGCCGCGGAGTAGCGAGGCGCTTCCCGCGGTGTCTTCCAAATCTCAGGTTCCTGTATGCCACCCTGCCTCGACTAGCAAGTTGAAATGGCCCTGGGGAGATGCCCTCCACTTTATCTGGTCTCACGTGCGGGGGCAGCATCCACGCTTTTCTCTGAACCCTTGGGTCCTTCCAAATGCGTTCCCATGCCCCTGCTGTGCCCCAAGGGGCGGGAGGCAGAGCGCAGCCCCTGGACTGCGCCCCTGGCCGAGGAGCAGGGCTCCGCTCGCCAGGAGACCCCCCCCCTCCCCGCCGCTAACCCCCGCCAAAGCTTTGGAGAACCCCTTCTCCGTCCCCACACCTTTACCCCGCCGGAAAGTGGGTAGTGGGCTGTACTGCCCTTCGGGGACAGGTGTCTCCGTGTGCGGGGAGGAGATGACGACATGGGGCGCCCAGGGCAAGTCCGATGTCCGTCTCCCAAGAGGACAGGAAAGGACAGCCACCATCTGCTCTCCTGCCCTCGCGAGCCTCTAGGCACTGGGTGAGAGGCGACTTCGGCCGACTCTCTCGGCCCTCCTGCCCCCTCCCGGCCACTCCCGGCTGAGCCTCGGCGTGCGAGGGCAGGAGCGGCCGCTCAGTCCTGGGTACGGCCTCAGCACCCGCGAAGGCGGACGGCTCGCCGCCTCGCTCCGTTCTCCCCATCTCTGTCCCTGGGAACTGCGGCTTTCAGACCCGCGCGCTCGAGGCGGCGACCGGCCGGCCCGAGCCGCCGGGGACCCGCGACGAGGCGCCAGCGAGGCGGTGTGGGTAGGGGAGGGCTGACCCGCAGGACTCCGTGCCCGCGTCTATTTGCTGTGGTGCCGACTTCCGATGCGGGACGCGAGCCAGAAGCCCTGTATCCTCGGGTCGAAAGCGACGGCTCCCACCTCGGGGCATGATAAGGACTAGATAAAAGCGAGCAAATCGCACCCGTCCTGGCGGGGCGCCCGGCCCTTCGCTCGCGGGTCGCTAGAAAGAGGCAGTAGAGCCCCGCACCCCCTTCCCGGCCACAGCCCCCTCCAGCGTCCCCGGAAACGGTAGCAGCACGGTCCTGGGACCCTCGGGGGGCGTCCCTGGAGCCGTGCGTCTTTTTAGCGCGACAAAACCTGGGCGAGCTCCCGATGCGTTTGGTGAACCTGAGGAAAGTGCCAGTGATGACTGCGGGACACTGAAACCCAAAGCTCTGGGCAGCCCCTCGGCTAGCGCGCGGGGCTGCGGAGTGGGCAGGGGACTTGTGCGTTTCACAGCTGCGATGCGGACCGGCGCCGTCGCCGAGGGGCGGCCTGATGGCTGTGGCCCCGGTAGTCGCTGGTGGGACGGATGTGTGGAGTGTCCGCGTCTACGCGCTCCTTAGCGCCAGCTCCAGTGCTATTGTGAATATTAACAGTCGCGTGAAACTCGGAAGCGGGGTATGCTTGCGACATGCCGGGTTACAGTGCCACCTCTGTTAGCACCGGCCGAGGGGTGAAGGGAGCCAGAATGGGAGCCGGGGCCAAGTTGCATAATCCCACTGCACAGCTCTGACGAGGGCGGCCGCTTTAAGAACCACTGCGGGGCCAACTGCGAAAGCCGTGGAGGCTGTTTCGAGGGCTTCAGGCTGCCTGGGGGCTGCCCTGTGTGCCCTGCCTGGGCTTCAGAGTCTCAGCGTGGCGGGACCGGCCGCGCGCCCCTTACCATCCATGGAAGGAGTGGTCCATTTCCCGCTGGGCTGAAAAGGGCTGCCTCCCAGGAGCCTTGTGACGCCAAGGGGCTGAGATCCTTGGATAATCCCGGATCAGAGTCCGGTCGCCAAGCCAGCGCCAGATACAGGCACCTTTTGCTCCGCGCTGCGCACGGGTGGAAGGCGAATCAGAGGCATCTGTACCAGAAGTTTTTCAACTGCCCCCCCCCCACTGGACTTGGTTATTCCTCTGCTCCAGAAAAGTCAGATTCCATCTTTTATCCTACTCTGAAAGGAAAAATATTGCCAGACAGTTTTTCTTTTAATAAATACTTGCTCTGCATCTGCTGTATTTCTGTTGTCTTTCCCAGAAATGCAAGGTGATGCACAATTGATATAAGTGACGGATTCAGGCATCTCCGTTCCATCTCTTAAACCTTTGCCGAGAGCAGGTCAGGTGGCTTTAGGTCTTTTCTGTGTTGCGGATGGGGACGTTAGAATTTCTTCGTCAGGGATCGTGGAAACCATCTCCTCAAAGCTTGCCCTGTCTGGATAAGGAAACTGAAACGTAGAGAAGTGAAGTGATTTCTCTGCTCACAGGGAAACTTACTTGTGGTAAGGATCAGAACGCTGGGTCAGTCCTGTCTATTAGGTAGGTGTTTCCCTACGGTTCACGAAGGTGGTCCCTGTCTTGAAATGCCTCGAGACAGGGAAGATGATTTCCAAGTGGTTAGAGTGCCTGTGCACCCCATGCATCTCGTCCGGAGGAGCCGTGCTCCTCGTTACAAAAGCAGGAGTGCTTCTGTTTGCTCCTTGCAGAACAAGGGAAGCAGAGTTGGTACAGTTCCTGTGGCTGTGAACTTTGGGAAGAATGAATTCAGACATGTCCTCCCTTTATTGCAGTTAGAAAAAAACCTGCTTGTGTTTGGCTAGACCTCACTATACAAAGCCAGTGCGAGGACCCTTGCCTGGGCAGATGGCTGTGGGAAATGGAGAACTCTGTGCACCTTCTAGATTGGTTCTTGTGCTAGGCGAGTTGACATTTGCTCTTGGGATGAAAATCATGAAATTAAGTTTTATTTACTCGAATGTGAATCTCTCCCTCTAGGGTGCTGCGCAACTTTCTAGGAATTTATTATGTGAAGGGTTCAGAAATAGAAGGAACTAATACAAGTAACAATAGCTGCTTGTTAGCGTTCCAGGATTTTGGCCCTGTGTATTTGAAAATGCGTACTGCTGTCCGTTGTCTCACAAGTCAGGTTAAGCTCCTCAGGAGCTCCCTCCAGGGGTGTGTGCTTTTCCACGGTTTTCTCCAGTTGCATCTTACGCCATCTTGGTAGTTTCCCTTTCCCTCTCAGCCTAATAAATCTTCCCTTTCACGTTAGTGCCCGTCATCGTGGGGTGTGCATAGCAGGTCTGGCTTTTACCGATACTGTAAAGTTAGTGATGTTTGCCCTGAGGGCCCCAATACCCTTTACTCCCAGTCCTCCTCCCTCCCATCTCTTGCTGCCTGTTTTCGTGATGAAAACCAGCTCTGATAGTCACTCCACGATATCCATCAATAAGATGACAGCTGTGGGTGGGACACCTACTCCTACCTGGGTGATGGGCTGCAGAGAAGACTGAGAAGTGAGGGAGAAGGCCCTTGCCTGGGAGTTGCTTAGTCTGGGAGGAAGGAGGCCACACGGGGCAGCTTAGTTGAAAGTGCAAGTAGCCGGCAGCTGACTCGGGACTGTTAGGTAGGGATCAAATACTTTGAAATGAAAGATAAGAAGCCAGTACTTTAGGTAGTAAATACACAGCCATTTGAGAGTATTGGGCAGGGGGTAGGGTGCACAGAGACTTGGCTCACTGTGTCCCTGGAATCACACACAGGCAGAGTAGGTGCTGACCTCCAGCATAAAGATGGGCTTTGAGGAAAGACCCAACGAGGGTGGTCAGTGTTTGGAGATTACAAGTCAGGACAACATGGAGGATTTGCCAGTATTCCCTTTTGTGAACTTCAATGCCATAGGCAGAAGTGCCCCCAAATTGGATATTGTATATGTAACACCTTCAATACACAAATGCTGTGTTATCACTTTTCGTCCGGATTAGGAGGAGGTATTCAGGACACATGTGTTGTCTTAGTAATTTATATCCGATATCTATTCATATTTGCTTTAGATGAGGGGCATGGAGGGAGGAACCTGGCAGAGATGCATGATTGACAGGAGCACAAGTGCCTGGTTCTGCTGAGGGTTACAGTGGAGAGTTCTAGGACTTCAGGAAGATCAAAAAAGGAGAGGGGGCTTTTATTTTTTAAGATTTATTTTATTTTTTTTTAAGATTTATTTTATTACAGAATTAGAGAGGTAGAGACAAAGAGAGAAGAGAGGTCTTCCATCTGCTGGTTCACTCCCCAGGTGGCAGCAATGGCTGGAGCTGAGCTGATCTGAAGCCAGGAGCCAGGAGCTCTTCTTATCGGTCTCCCAGTAGGTACCAAGGCCCCAAGGACCTGAGCCGTCTGCATTGCTTTCCCAGGTGCATTAGCAGGGAACTGCACTGGAAGTGGAGCAGACAGGACTCAAACTGGCATCCATATGGGATGCTGGAGCTGCAGGATGGGGCTTTAACCCACTGAGCCACAGTACCAGCCCTGGAGGGAGGGGAGACTTCTAACCCAGGCTTTGTGAAAGGCCATGTGGGGTGGTCCCCAAATCTCTGAAGTTGTGTGTCATGCATTACATATGTAAGCTCCTCCCCTCTCCCCAAAGCAAGCCTGGTCAGGTCTCAGTTGCCATTTGAAAGTTCTGTGGTCTGCAAAGATGAGCCCTTGATGTTGGATGTCTGATCTGGTGATGGCCTTAGCTTTCAGGATTGTCCCAGACAGCTGTGCAGTTCACTGCTAATGTCTCTGCCCATGTTGGAGAGGTGGCAGGGGGTTGCACCCAGTAAAGCTTTGGTAGTGCAGGCTGACCATGCCTATACTTGGCTGGCCTCTGCCCACCTGCACATCTGCCCTCAGTCACGGAAGGAAGAGGCGATGTATGCCCTGTACAAGGTCAGTTCTGGGGTGATCCGCCTTGTTAATGCTTCTTAAAATGGCCGTGAGGATAAACTCATCCTCACAT